TGTAGGGAACTCTGAGGCCAGGGCCTGGGGACTGGGCAGAGAGGCCTCTCAGAGCAGGTGAATTTTGAGTTGGGACAAGCTGAGGGCACAGATAGCCCAGCAGACACCCTGTTCCAGGAGTGCCCAACTGCCTGCAGAGCCTGAGTGGCACTAAGAGGTCCCCTTATAGTGACTGGGCTAGGGCAGAACAAGGGACATGGGGTCAGCATAGGCACCTAGAGGGAGGCACACGCAGGGCACACCCAGACATGCTGTGGGACATGTATAGACCAGGAGTGGACTCTACAGGACCATCACACATAGGACTCCCCAAAAATGAATCGGCAGATGTGCACAGACACATATGTGGGACACAAAATCCTATGCAGATGCACACACAAATTCCCACCAGGACACAAACAGAATAGAGAGGATATATTTATATTAACTAAAGACACACACATGAAAACAGACACAGACATAGATGCCCACACACGTGTGCACACAAATCCCATACATTCCAAGAATGGTGCTCACAGGGACATGCATGGGAAAAAGGCAGATGCATCCTTTGGTACAAACATGTACGTGCAGACACGGGCACAGGTATGCATAAAGAGTATGGAGACACAGAGAAAGAAACTCCTGGACACACAGAAAGACTACACAGGAGAACACAGGGACAGCGGAAACAGGTACATTGAGAGAGGGCTCCATGTACAGAGCCAAAGGTAGACACCTTTGCACAGCCATGTTGACAGAAGCAGATGTACAAATGGTCATACAGGTATAGGTATAGCCATCCAGAGAGACACACAAGAGCTCACTCGGTCACATACACAATTACACAGGCGTTCCCAAATGCAGATAATCAGATCTGTACACATAGGAATGTGATAATAAATGTTTAACACCTGCTCTTGAGAAGAAAGTGCACACAGATTACATAAGTTCATTACAAACTTTACAGATATAAAGGATGCATAGCACACAATTTACAAATGATGATAATATATCCAACAGTCTCTATTGTAAATTCCACATGCCAATTAATTCTCACAGTGCTTTCATTAATTTCAGTTTTAACTCTTATGTGTCAAGATTACCGTTAAATTTCAACATATGTATATATTATAACCAAGCAACTCCAATTCTAAGCGTATACCCATTGGAAATTAGGGCATTTTTTTCCTCCAAAATATATATACATGAAGGTTTATAAAAACGTTATTGATAACAGCCAAGAGGTTGAAACAACTCACTCAACCATAAATGGGAACATGCTTAAACAAATTATGATTTGGTAACATGAATGAGTGTGTAAGAGTGTACAATGTAGAAGATGAATAAAAGATGGGTGTCTGGTGATCAAATCAAGGATTGTGCTAGAAACTGGCTAGTCGTTCACCAATACTATTTTCTCCTCCTGGACACCTAAGAGGACAGTCATGTCCCAGCTTCCCTTACTTAATTTGGGACCATGCAAATAAATTTTGGCCAATGGAAATGGGCAGGAGTGATTGTGAATAATGTGTCTTCAGTTTATCTTCTCATTTATGCTCCTTCTTGGGGTTGCCTCTTTGGGCCTCACTGTTTCCAGTTTTCACACATCCCCACGAATTATTGCTCCTTTGGGAGCTGAAGAGAAGGAGGACCAGACCTGGTGACATTGAGCCACTAGATATCAGACTGGACCATGTCATGGTCATACATTTGTACCTGGGCCTGCCTGCCCTGAGAGTTAGAGGGGAAGGCAGGAGGAGTTTCAGTCTTTGTTCTTGCGAATTAGACATGAACTATGATGTCATCTTATGAAGTATACCATGATACGAAACTGTGTTAACTCCACTGCCCACTTAAGCCTAAGAGCAATTAGTCTTCATAGTTCTACGTTTTGAATCATACGGTCTGTAAAAATGCATCCCTTTGACAACAGACTTACTTGTAGTTTTTGAAAATTTCCTTCATCTAATGCTTAAAAAAATAAGTAGAATGAACCTACAGGTATACAGGTGTGCTCTATGCAAAATTTTTACCATTATCTATAACGCTACTTGCTGACTCAGGGAGTGATTGTATTTTGTTTTAAAAAACGTGATCAGTGATTCTGCAAAGAGGGGCCTCTGACATCCTCCTATAGCTGTATATGTGAGAACCTTGTGGAGATGATGAATAATAACAATAATAGCTTGTGTGTATTTAGCACCAGGCCTTGTGCTAAGCATGTTTCATCTCACTTCCCATGAGGTAGGTTGTAGTATTTTTCCATTTTAGTTGTCGTACTTTGGGGGAGGGAGGTGGTCATGACTTTTAATAAGAGCTCCCACCTCCGGGGTGTTTCTGTGTCGGAAGGTGTAGGTTGGATCCGAGAACTTGCATTTTCAGTAAGTTCACAAGTGCTTTTGACCCAATTTTGGGTAACAAGGAATAGGAGGACCATATGTTACTACCCGAAGACGGCAGGAGAGAGGGATATTTATTCAATTTTTTTTTTGGCCGGCCCGCGCGGTTTGCGGGATCTTAGTTCCCCCGACCAGGGGTCAAACCCGCGCCCTCGAACTGGAAGCGTGGAGTCCTAACCACTGGAGGGCCAGGTAATTCCCTTCATCGTTCAATTAAAATCTCAGTCCCCAAAACTCGAGACGTGAAGCAGTTCTCCCAGGATGAAAGAATGCTCCACCTGCTGGAGACGGCGGAGGACGCGGCGTTGTCACAGGTGACCACGGAAATCTGGACGCGTCGCCTTTAAGAGGGGCTCTGGCCCTCCGCGACCCAATTCCTCCCCGACCTTTCTCCCTCTACCTGCCTCCGCACTGCTGTCGGGGAGAGCCGGAAAAGTGCCCCTTACCTGCTTAGACGGAGGACACAAATTCCTCTACCCATAAGTCTGTGCCCGGCGCATCCGTGCTGCGCCAATGACAGTCCGGAAGATGGGCGTTTCCTGCCGCCCTTGCCGCAGAGGCGGGACTTCCTGCGTCGCGGCCGTGACGTTTTCTGCTTGCGCCAGAGCTGTTTAGAGTGGCTGTGGAGGCTGGGAGGCCTGGCTGGGGTCCGCCTTCCGTTCGGCTCTTCGGAAGCGAACAGGGAAGGACAGTAGAAAGGATAGGACCTCGCTCCGCGCCGTTGTTAAGATCCATGGTCCCCGGCTTGTTACGGGCCGCCTTGCGCGGAGGTGTCGGCCGGGGCTGCGCTCTTCCCGAGGCCTTCGCACCCGCCCTCCTTCCTCGTCCGCTTCCGGAGGCGGCACCCTGAGCCTGAGCGCCTTTTTACAAGGGGGAACCTGGGGCTCTGAGTGCGACAGTCGTCCCGAGGCCACTCCGCCCAGTGTGGGGTGGGGGTTCGGCTGCTCCCGCAGAGCCCGCTCCAGTCGCCAGTTTCTCGACCCGGTTCTGCTCAGAGGATCCCATGGCGGCCGCGGCGCTTGTGGACCGAGCTCAGGTGAGTGGAGGGTCCCTCGAGCCCTCACCGCATCAGGTGTAGGGGATGGTGTGTTCTAGGGCTTTCAGCACTTCGCCTTCATCGCTCCCTTTTCTTGAGTATAAAGGCGGTGAAGGGCGGTCCTTGACGGTGGATATGTGGCGAGGTTCCCATTCCCAGTGTTGATGGGGTGAGGCGTGAAATGGTTTCCAAGGCCCAGGAGCCAACTGGTACAAACACTTGGAGGTGAGAATGAATTAGGAGTGTTCAGGAAACCGCAGGTCTCTGTTATTTTTGGTGAGAATAGAGAGCAGGCAGTCAGGGATCAGGCCTGGAATGGCAGCCTGAGGAGCTGGGCCTCTTTTCTGATGGTGGCGGGAGCCATAGAAGGTTTGTAACAAAGGGAAGTGATCTGACATAGTTGTTAACAGGCTTCCTCTTGTAGCAGAGTGGAAAGATTGGGGAAGCCTGAGGGTGGGCAGGGAGACCAGGATGGAGTATACTGCAGTAGTCCAGGTGAGTGTTGATGGTGGGTGGCCCAGAGTGGTGGCAGTGGAGGTTAGAGAGGTGTATGGATTTTGTATATGTTTTTTTTTTTTTTTTTTGCGGTACGCGGGCCTCTCACTGCTGTGGCCTCTCCCGTTGCGGAGCACAGGCTCCGGGCGCGCAGGCTCAGCGACCATGGCTCACGGGCCCAGCCGCTCCGCGGCATGTGGGATCTTCCCGGACCGGGGCACGAGCCCGTGTCTGCTGCATCGGCAGGCGGACTCTCAACCACTGCGCTACCAGGGAAGCCCTGTATATGTTTTTAAACTAGGGTCGTTGGAGATTTTCTGATGAGACATAGTGAGATACTGGGACTCTTCACCTGTCCCTCTCCCTGCACTTGAGTCTGGGGGCCTTAAAGGAGGGGTCCTTTCTAGCCCAGTATCCTGAATCTAAACCAACAGTTATATGAAGAGGTTCTTGCTTCTGGTAGCCAATGGGATGAGGACTGGAAGGGTGTATTAGACCCAGGAACAGCATGTGCAAGTGCTTGGAGGTAAGATTGAGTTGGGCGTCCTCAAGGAACCATAGGTCTCCATTATGTCTGTTGGGAAAAGGGCCAGGAGTCAGGCAAGAATGGCAGGCTGAGGAGCTGGGCTTCTATTCTGATGGTGTTGAAAGACATTGAAGATTTGGAGCAGAAGAGAGATGCTCTGAATCGGATCTTAACAGGCTCCCTCTGGCTGCTAATTGAGAATGGAGTGTGGGCATGAGGGAGGAGCTTACTGCAACAGTACACATAAGTGTTGATGGTGGCAAAGAAAGTGGAAACTGGGCCCTGAGGACTTGGCATCTTGCTCAGGCACCTGGGTGGCAGTGGTGCCTGTCATAAAGACATGAGTATTTCCTGGATACTGTATGCAGAGTGGCTTCAGGAGTGGGGGTTGCCTTGGAGGTGCATATGTTGTGGATCAGAAGGTTGTCAGTGTTAATGGGGTGTGGTCCCAGATATGAGGAAAGTGTGGTTCAGAGTGATACACGTTGGGAGGAGTGTGACCAGGTGGCCTTAGTTGTTTTTGGGAGGCATGTTCTTGAGGATGCCGGCAGGAGAGTGTTTGGTGCCCTTCATGCAAGACCCATAGCTTATATAATATATATCTGCCCACCTGCCTGGTTCTGCTCTGGGCTGCACACAGTGATCAGAGGGACAGGAGAGAGCAGGCAATAGTTGTGTCAAGGCCTAGTATCGCCTCTGAATTGGGAGGCTGGGGAGGACCCGGGTGGGGTAGGTTAATGGGTAGACTGGGGAGTCCTGTTGTCCGTGGGCTCAATTGTCCCCATCGTGGCAGGGCTGTGTGACCTTCGAGGATGTGTTCGTGTACTTCTCCCGGGAGGAGTGGGAGCTCCTTGAGGAAGCTCAGAGACTCCTGTACCGTGATGTGATGCTGGAGAACTTTGCACTTGTGGCCTCGCTGGGTAAGTCCCTGTTTCAGTTATCTATTGGTACATGGCAAATTACTCCAAAAGTTAGTGACTTAAAACAATTAAAATGTGTTATGTAACTTACAGTGTATCAGGAACCTCGCTCGTCACAGCTTACCTGGGTGCTTTTGGCTCAGGGTCTCTCATGAGGTTTCAGTCAAGCTGTCAGCCAAACCTGTGTTCTCATCTGAAGGCCATTCTCGGGAAGAATTCACTTACAAATTCACTCATGTTTTGTGTTTCCAAGATGCAGTTTCTTGCGGCTTGTTGAACTGTAAGCATTAGTTCCAACTGGCTGTTGGTCAGAGGCCTCCCTTGGTTCCTTGTCATGGTGGCCTTTCTGTAGTGCACCTCATAATGTGGAAAGTGCCTTCTCTGAGCAAGTGTGCAAGAGAGAATGTCCAGGATGATGGCTGGTCTTTTTCTAACCTGACTTGGAGAAAATGATCCCATCATTTTTGCCCTGTTCTGTTCCTTAGAAATGGGTCAATCAGTCCAGCGTATGGTCAAGGGAAGCGGCCTACACAGGGGCGGGAATACTGGGAGGTAGGCATTCTTGGGGGCCATCGGAGAGGCTGCCTTCCACAGGCCCTCATGCCCGCTCCAGTGTCCTTGGGGTTTGCTTTTTCCCCACTTCCCTTGGGGCAGGTCTTTCGGTCCAGCCAGATCAGTGACTCTTCTCCTTCCCTTCTTTGGTTACCAGAGTAGGCGCTGTGGGTGCCGAGGCTGGGCCGTGTGTGGTGTCCCCTCCCTCGCTGAGCAGTCCCGACACCTCTGCCCAAAGCCTTTCAGGGTCAGGTTAGGAGTTCAGGGCTCTTTCAGTCTGCTTCACAGATTCTGCCTGGCTTGGGCACTTCCAGATCCATGATGCCTCTGAGTCCATGTTCTGCCCCTATCCTCTGGCTGAGATTTCCTGGGGCATGACTATGCCAGGAATTGTAGGTACTGACATGGTCACTGCTTGTGGCAGACACAGGGATGTTCCACCAAATCCTCCTTCGGGTTTTTCTCTCTCTCCTTTTTTTAAAACATATTCTCTTCTTCTCTGTGGAATGCGTCTACCTGGGCCACCCATCTGCCCTATGATTTTTATACAACTTCCATTTTCCTGATCACATGTAGTTTTCCAGGTGGAGAGGGACAGGAAGCCCCGTGTTCCTGACAGGGAGCCCTGACTCCAGCCACAGTGAGAGAAGCCAGAGAGTGCCTGGCCCTGCTGCATGGGAGCTGAAAGAGAGCCATCTTAGGGCTGGGTTCACATCGTACTGTCAACCTGCTTTGTGTTCACCAGTGTTTTCTTGCCAAGACACATAGCAGTACCTCACTTCTCCCTTTCCTTCCCCATTCTTGGCACTTAACATTTCTCTTCTGTCTTCCATCCCTTGGCTGTTTCCCCACCTCTCTGGCCTCCATGTCTCTCACTCATTCTCCTCTTCTCCGTCTGCAGTGCTCAGCAACACTGGCTACTATAATGTGTCATGAGTTGTGCACATATCCATATGTAGTCCTTAAGAACCAGCTACTTACTTGTGATCAGATTTTCCTGGGCCTGGACACAGCTTTCTGCACAGAGCTTACCTGACACCAGCAGCCGAGGCCCTGCTGAAACGCTTTTGTAGAGGAGTGAGTTGGAGACCTCACCTCTACTTCCAGTACTGTCCAACATCATTGTGTCTTTACCCATCATTAGAGTTCCTTCATACTGTGACCTTTAGAGGCCCAAGACTGACAGTGGGCCCTTCCTGATCCTGGCTCCCTCATCCTGCCAAAAGCCAGTGGACTCATTCATTGGTGTGTCACACATACATATGTGATGGAGTTGCTGCTTCCCACCAAAGTCAACATGTCCTTCACTAGCATTTCTTTGATTTCAGGTTGTTGGTGTGAAGCAGACAATGAGGAGGCCCCTTCTGAGCAGAGCGTTTTTGTAGAAGGAGTGTCAGAGGTCAGGACTCCTGAGTCATGTCCATTTATCCAGAAAGCCCAGCCGTGTGAGATATGTGACCCACTCTTGAAAGACATTTTGCACCTGGCTGAACACCAGGGATCATGCCCTGCACAGAAACTGTACACATGGGACCCCTGTGGGCGAGGATTCCTGTTCAGTGAAAACTTTTATCAGCACCAGAAGCAATATAGTGGGAAGAATCCTGTCAGAAGGGGTGATGATGGGGCCTCACTTGTGAAGAGCTGTGCTGTCCACATGTTAGGGAGACCTTTTACTTGCAGGGAGGAAGGGATGGACTTGCCAGATAGCTCTGGCCTGTTCCAGTACCAAAGCACTTACAATGGAATGAGTCCATGCAAAAAGGCTGAGTTCATGGAGCCTTTTCCACAAAGCTCCAGACTCAGGCGACACCAGGGAGACCATGATGAACTGATGCTTCTCAGTTGCAGTGACAATGGGAAAACGTTCCTGAACACCTTCACTCTCCTTGACAACCACATAACTCAGGCTGAAGTGCGAGCTTTTAGGTGCCTACCATGTGGAAATCTGTCCAAGGAGAAATCAGTTTTTATTCATCACACAAAAATTCATAGTGGAGAAACATCACATGTGTGTAAGGAATGTGGAAAGGCCTTCATTCACCCGTCTCACCTAAAAACCCACCAGAAATTTCACAGTGGGAAAAGACAATATACATGCAGTGAATGTGGGAAGGCCTTCAGCCGCAAAGACACGCTTGTACAACACCAGAGAGTCCACACTGGAGAAAGGTCTTATGACTGCAGCGAATGTGGAAAAGCCTACAGCAGAAGCTCCCACCTTGTTCAGCACCAGAGAATTCACACTGGAGAAAGGCCTTATAAGTGCACTGAATGTGGAAAAGCCTTTAGCCGTAAAGACACACTTGTTCAGCACCAGAGATTTCATACTGGAGAAAGGCCTTATGAGTGCAGTGAATGTGGGAAATTCTTTAGCCAAAGCTCTCACCTTATTGAGCACTGGAGAATTCACACTGGGGCAAGGCCTTACGAGTGCATAGAATGTGGAAAATTCTTTAGCCATAACTCCAGCCTCATTAAACATAGGAGAGTCCACACAGGAGCAAGGTCTTACGTGTGTGGCAAATGTGGGAAGGCTTTTGGCTGCAAAGACACACTTGTTCAGCACCAGATAATTCACACTGGAGCAAGGCCTTATGAGTGCAGTGAGTGTGGAAAGGCCTTCAGCCGTAAAGACACGCTTGTACAGCACCGGAAAATCCACACTGGAGAAAGGCCTTATGAGTGTGGCGAATGTGGAAAATTCTTTAGCCATAGCTCCAACCTCATTGTGCATCAGAGAATTCACACTGGAGCGAAGCCTTATGAGTGCAGTGAATGTGGGAAATGCTTTAGCCACAACTCCAGCCTCATTCTACACCAGAGGGTTCACAGTGGAGCAAGGCCTTATGTGTGTAGTGAATGTGGGAAAGCCTACATTAGTAGCTCCCACCTTGTTCAGCACAAGAAAGTCCACACTGGAGCAAGGCCTTATGAGTGCAGTGAATGTGGGAAATTCTTTAGCCGCAATTCTAGCCTCATCCTTCACCAGAGGGTTCACACTGGAGAGAAGCCTTACGTGTGCAGTGAATGTGGGAAAGCCTATAGCAGAAGCTCCCATCTTGTTCGGCACCAGAAAGTTCACACTGGCGAAGGGCCTCATGAATGCAACAGCTTTGATGGCCCGTTAGCTGCATCTGTTACACTTGTTTAGCAGCCAGAAAGTTCACACTAGAGAAAGGCCTTATGAATGCAGAAAATGTGCTGTATCCTTGTTCAAGGTATTAGCACTCACACCAGAGAAGAGCTCTGTGAGTGCCCTTTGTGAGGGAGCCAGCAGGTCAACCTTGTACAATCGTACATCCACCCTGGGGAGATTCCCGATAAGTACCACGTAGGTGAGAAGCTCTCATGAGGTGCATTGCACTTCCTCAACTGTCCAGGGCTCTTGACAGTTCCATCACTGCCAGTGCCTGTGGTGGAAGCCATCTCATTGCTGTTAAGTTTCCACAGTGTCTGTCAGTTACTCCAGTATGCTCAGGAAAGGTGGAGCCCTGTGCTGTCTCTCCTGGTCCCTCTAGGGGATCATGAATGTTCTGAGTGCACTAAAGGTCCACATTTCCACCTCCATGACTGGGTACTGAGTGACCATGATCTAGCTCTGGCTGAAAGGACCAGAGTCTACTGGGGATTTCCAGACAAGATTTCGCTTCTTCCTGGACAATGTTGACTGTCACATGATAGCTGTGACTTATCTTGCTCCCAAGTCACCCAACTTTGGAACTCCCTGTCCATGCTACTCTAGTTTGTGCAGTGATAAAGGCCTGCTGTGGCAGTCTTTACTCACGGGAGGTCAGTTCACTGTGTCTAATGGATTGAGAAAAATTGGGTTTTACCGACATGAAGGGAGGAACACCTTATGTTGACACCAATGTTTTGTGCCTCAGAAGGGACAGCAGGGTGGTGGAGAACAGCTCTCAGTCTAGTCTGGCCTAGTTTGCATTGTTGCCCAAGGCTTGCTAGAAAAGTCTGAAGAGCTTTGTGCACCTAATCCTGTGGCTTAGAAGTCAGGATTTCCTGTGAGCCCAGAGTTCATTCTGAGGAGGGCACAGTTGGTGTGGAAATCTCCAGTGCTTGTGGAAGCAACATGAATTGGGTCCTTTGTTCCTAGGGAATGTCCCATATTCTTCAGCACTTTTGAGGGATTTCTGTCTCCTGGACCTGTACAGGAGCCAGTCCCTCATGTCCAGGATCCCATAGGCAAGTATCATTGACTGGAAGGCTTTAGCCCTTTAGGGCAAGGTAGGAATCATAGTTGGTACAGAAACACTGATATAATGGAGTGGGGATGACTGTGGCTAGTGAGAGGATGTGTGTCTATTCTAACAGTGGCATCTATAAACGTCCGTGTGATTTTGGCTGTATGGCATGAAAGTGTACAGAAATTCTCAGGACCTTCAGACGTCTGAGTCTCTTGCGGCCAATGCACTGTCACAGTAAATAATCTAAAGGTTTGTGGATTCCTCTACCTCCCTGGGCTGTTGACGTTATGGCCATCACTGCACAGGCTGGAACCCCAGCACTAACGAGAGATCCAGGGATCAGGCTTCTCTGACCCAGCCAACATTTCTAGTGACTGAAGTGGACGTGGACTTCATTGCTGATACTGAGGCAGGGCTTATCCCCCTAAACTTTGGGGAGAGGGATATGCTAGAACCAGAACAGTTGGCAGATGTGACTTTCCAAGAGGAATGGTAAATATGGAGTTTCATAGGGAACATTTAGTTCTTAACATTTTCATTAAGGTATGGTGACATGAAATAAACTGAATATATAAAGTGTAAAACGTGTTATGTTTCACCATGTGTAAATACTGATGAGACCACACCATCAAGATAATGGAGATATCCCACATAACCAAAAGATTCCTTGTGTCCCTTTATAATCCTTTCCTCCCAGTCCTTTCTGGCCCCCTTTCCCACAGTTCACAAGTAATAGCAAGCATTTTCTAGAATTTCATATAAATAGAATCATAGTATATACTTTCTGGGGAGTGGGGACTCTGGCATTTTTCACTAACCGTAACTATTTTGAGATTAAGCCATCGTGTTACATGTATTAATTGTTCATTTGTATTGTTGAGTATTATTCCATTGTATGGATATACCACAATTGGTTTTTTATCCATTTGTGTGTTAGTGGATGTTTGGGTTATTTCCAGTGTTTGGCTGTTACAAATAAAGCTGCTGTGAAGATTTGCATATAAGTTATCACTGAATAACATTCCATTGTACGGATGTAACAGTTTGCTTATCCATTCACTGGCTGAAGGACATCTTGATTGCTTCCAAGTTTTGGCAGTTATGAATAAACCTGCAATATGCATTGTGTGTAGGAGGACATAAGTTTGTAGACATAAGATTTCAGTTTGTTTGGTTTCAAGCCAAGGCATGATTTGCTGGGTCATATAGTAAGAGTATATTTAGTTTTGTAAGAAAATGTCTTCCAAAGTGGCTGTATCATTTTGCATTCCCACGAGCAGTAGGTGAGAGTTCTCTTGCTCCATGTCCCTGTCAGCATTTGGTGTTGTCAGTTTTCGATTTTTGCCATTCACATAGGTGTGTAGTAACAGTATGTTTTTGTTGCTTTAATTTGCAATTCCCTAATGACATATGATGAATATCTTTTCATATTCTTTTAACAGTGTCTTTTGCAGAGCAGAACTTTTAAATTTTAGTCAAGTCCAAAATAATCGGTTTTTCTTTCATGGATTGTGGTTTGGTGTTGTATCTAAAAACTCATTGCCAAACCCAAGGTCTTCATTGTCTCCTGTGTTATCTTCTAGGTATTCTATAGTTTTTGTTTGTTTGTTTGCGGTACACGGGCCTCTCACCGCTGTGGCCTCTCCCGTTGCGGAGCACAGGCTCCAAACGTCCAGGCTCAGCGGCCATGGCTCACGGGCCCAGCCGCTCCGCAGCATGTGGGATCTTCCCGGACCGGGGCACGAACCCATGTCCCCTGCATCGGCAGGCGGACTCTCAACCGCTGCACCACCAGGGAAGCTCTATTCTATAGTTTTGTATTTAGGTTTATTAGCCATTTTCGTAAATATTTGTGAAAGGTGTAAGATCTGTGTCTGGGTCACTTTTTTAAAGCCCTATGTGTTGAAAAGACTATCCTTTCTCCATTCCTTTGCCTTTGCTCCCTTTTCAAAGATCACTTAACTGTATTAGCGTGGATGTATTTCTAGACTCTCTGTTCCAGTTTTCTCCATTTATTGTGATAATCATCGGGTGGCTGTGGGGGTTTTTTTCTTGTTGTCTTTTATTTTATTTATATGGTTTATTCCATTAATTGATATTCAAATGTTAAGCCAACCTTGCCTTTCCTGGGACAAATCCCACTGGATCATGTTGTATAATCCTTTGTATATGTTGCCGAGACAGTTTTCTGATACTTTGTTAATGTATTTTACATCTATATAGATGAATGATACTGAGTTTGTATATCTGTTTTCTTCTGATACCTCTGTATCACAGGGGTCCCCAACCCCCAGGCCGTGGACTGGTACTGGTCCGTGGCCTATTAGGATCTGGGCCGCACCGCAGGAGGCGAGCTGCGGGAGGGCAGCCGGGGAGCAAAGCTTCATCTGCTGCTCCCCATGGCTCGTGTTACCGCCTGAACCACC